CAAAGTTCATACATGATGCTGGTACTGATCTGAAAACCCTCAGATTTTAGGCACAGATTTGTCCTGCTCTGAGCAAGGAACTGGACAAGACTCCTCAAAGATCCCCAATTTAAATTCTTCCTCCCTGACTGGCTGCAAGCAGCCCTGGAGGAGGGATTAATCACTGCTCCAGGAAACACTGGAGCTGTATTTTCACCCAGGCACTCCCAGGACAGACTCACATCCACCCCTGCAGGCTCAGGAGTGCCCAGAGACTGACCCTGAATGCACTGATGTCGATGCTCCTGTCCATGTATTTCTTCTTCTCGTATTTATCCCGGATGAAACTCTCCACAGCTCTTCAGCAGCTCGTTAAGGACAAAGGAATCCAAAATAGAAGCCTTACGTGGTATTATTTGACAAGTAGGTACAAGGTACAGGCTGTAACTAAACTAATGACTGCTTAAAGAGCATTTCCAGCAGTAACTTTCTTAAAATAATTTAGTGCTGGATCCAAACCCCCCCTTTAGCTGCTCGATTTTTTGCCCTTGGGTTATTCCAAGCATGACAGTGCTATAAAAGGTGCATTAAATCAGGGCTTAGATTCTCAGAGTGTTTTCTTCACTGTTTTAGACTCACTCCTTGTCATCAGCACAGATTACAGTGGCCAGCACTGGATCCTGCACTTAAAAGAGCACCTCAGGCACCAGCTTAAGACACAAAAAATGAGGGTGGAGAGGTGCTCCTGTGGGGTTTTTTTGGGTTCATGTCACTGTCCCCCTGTTCACTCAGCAACCAGAAACCCTCCTGGAAGGTCAAAGCTACAGCTCTTAAGTTTTCAGGAGCATTAAACCTTTTTATCATGGAATCATGGAATGCTTTGGGTTGGAAGGGACCTTAAGGATCACCTAATTCCAACCCCTGCCACAGGCAGGGACACCTTCCACTAGCCCAGGTTGCTCCAAACTGGCCTTGGACACTTCCAGGGATGGAGCAGCCACAGCTAATCTGGGAAATCCATTCCTCACAGGGAAGAACTTCTCCCTAATATCCCATCCAACCCTGCCCTCTGGCAGTGGGAAGCCATTCCCTGTGCCCTTGGAAACAGTCCCTCCCCACCTTTCCTGCAGCTCCCTCAGGCACTGAAGGCCACAATGAGGTCTCCAGTGAGCTTTGGAAACACTCAGCCCTTTGGAAAGGCCCACCCTCCCACTTCCCACAGCTCCCAGGTGTGGAACAGCTCCCTGGGGTGACTTTGGTGTCCCAGTTCTCCTCCCCCAGAGCTCAGCACCAATCCTCAATCCTTCCCCCCTCTCCTCAGGCTCGGGGGGAGCTCAGGGGAGTCAAAACTCCTGCTCAGCTCCTGCCAGGGGTGCAGCTCCAAAGCTCTGGCTCCCTGTTTTCCCCTGGAGAAAGGATGCTGGTCTGTCTGAGGTCTCCTGAAGTTCTCGGGCAGGAAGGCTTCGTAGAGCCGGTTTGCTTTGCCATTTCCCATCTCCTGCACACACTGGAAAAAAAACCCAGAGAGCCCTTGAACTGGTGCATTCCCAGACATCAAAGCTCTCCCAAGTGCAGCCCTGAGGATTCCAGGCAGGGGTGGATTTCTGAGCCCTGCCTGGACCCAAAAATCACTCTTCACCTGTCAGGGGAATCCTGGTGCAGCTGCTACCCCCAATCCCTCCAGCATTCCCA